GAATAATGTTGACTGCGTTTGATTGGCTCGAGCTGTCGTGGCATTTGCAGAAATGGCATCTGAGAGGCCCACGCTGGAGCAGACCAGCACCACTGCAGTCCACGCCGAGCCGACTGACAGCGAAGGCAACCATGACCTCATCGCCCACGCTGTGCGCAAGGACGGCCTCACCACGGCGGATCACCGCATGAAGATATACTATATATCGGCCGAGCTCTGGGCATCGACGACGACAAAAAGCTCAGGGTACAATTGTACACGTCACGAAATTTTCTTAACCAATGTGACCACTATATATATCAACGTGTTCCGCGTTATCTTCATTAAAGAGTTCGCATCAGGGGTACATAATAGCTATTATGTACCCCTGGTTCGCATACCGGTACGAAGTGCTACGCCTGAATGCGTGGGAGTTGGCACCAGCACTTTGTCGTTGGGAGTGAGCTGCGCACGGAGAGACCCATCCCGTGGTGGACCCCACTCGCCGAGATGTGACCACTACCCTATAGAATTTGGTGTCGGCTGAAATGCGTCGAGTTCGTGAAGCTGGCGCTGCTAATGCTTCTGTTAGCCCCACTGATGCCGACCCTCGTGCAGCCAAGAGGTCCGTCATATCGGTACAGTTTCGTGGGCTTAGCAAAATTCCCCTAGGAAGAGTGGATTCAGCGTGTTCAAGATAGAGAAATACACCGAATACCAGAGTAATACCGAAAACAAATGTACAAATCCCGTAAATGCAATACTGTAGAGCACCGCAAAACGGACTCGACTGGAAACTGCAAATTTACTCTCGCACGCACGAAGTAATCACAACAATGTTTGATTCTCTTAAATGCTTACCTCGAGTATATCTTCGAACTTGAGCCGCTGGTTACTATCGCCAAGTATTTCGTGTACTGTGCTGGGTGCGGGTTCAATTCCCGCTGTCACTGCCCTGTATTTTTTATTATACCTGATGACCTGATTGTATGCTGACCGTGACACTGCCAATGTGAATGGTGGCAAAGAGGCTGGTTGCATCTGTACATGCAATCGTCAGTAGCTCCGACACAGAGAAGCATGGCATACTACTGTGTGAAGTGTTCATGCCTTGCAATTTTAAATGTTGTGCTGGTTGCGAAGCAGGCCTTCCGCGACAGCATCGGCCACTTCTGCCACGAGAACGGGAAGGACGGAACTGGAATTGATGTGGATGGCATGGTCCCTTAAGACTTGGTCCATGTAAGCTCCATTGGCGACTTGAATACCACGCAGCAACGGGGCGCCGAGGTGCGGCGACGGCGCAAGGTGTTTCTTTCGTTGTCTCGTCAAGTCGTTGGATTTGGGAATTGTAGAAAGACGCCCGGTTGTGAAGACAGTTCTGCACGTGGTACAGTAAATCTCTTCGACACAACGTTAATACAGTTGAGATGGGAAGAACACATCGCAGTCCCATGTTGTGGTGACAGTTCTTGCACAGCTTTGGCATACGTCAACTCTACACGAATTTATGGCGCGTAGTACGCATCATGGGCGGGTTGCTGGCCCTCGCCAGCGCGATATTCTTGACGATATTAATGCGTCGAGAAGTGTTGACTAAGAGGCTGGACGCATAACTATGGGTACATGTACAAGTCGACTTGTACTACAGTACTAGTAGGTAGATTACTCGGTATCGACCTGTCGACACAGCCGTTTAAGGAATCACACTCATGTTGAGCTTGCGTTAATGCCGTCTTTGCTGGCTCAATAACGAGCTTAATGTAGCTGGCTTCTTTCCTGCGGTTGTTGTACTCCAAGAGCCATGCAATGTCTCGCTGGCGATTGCCTGCGGTCTCGAATCGCGTTGATGCGATGCTACGAGACAAAGCGTTGTTGTGCGCCCACGGCCCTCCCCGTTGAGCGAGGATCCCGTGCCCATGATAGAGCGTGGGCCGAACTGCCCTTGACAGCGTGTGTCGTGGGAGTACGCATGGAAGGCCGGAAGAAACCCAAGGTCTGCTTATGGTAAACCTTCGACATACAACGTTTGATGTGTTCTTCAGTTCTATCCCACTAATTTATTCTCCCTTCATACCTTTCGGTGGGCCATGATTTGCAAATCACACGGACGATTGCATGTACAGACGCATCCAGCCTCTATGCTACCATTCACATTGGCCGTGTCACAGTCTGCATAAAAAATGTGTGACCCTTAAAGTTTTTAAAAATGCGCGGTGAGATTTGAACTCACACGAGTACATCCGTCCATCGTCGTCTCCCGGGTGTTCCAGCGTGCCAATCGAGCAATCTGCATTCATGTCAATAATTTACTAATAATGGATAATACATTTGTACTAGTAGACACCATTGAAGTATTCGTAACGTGCGAGCAAGCATAGATTTGCTGTGTCATCATTGAGTATTCACCGAGGCTAAATTTTGCTCAGCACACGATATCACTCCATTGATAACGACGCACGGACCTCTTGGTTGCACGAAGGTCTGTATTGGTGGGCCATTAGAAGCCTTCGCATCAGCGCCAGCTTCACGAACTCGACGCATTTCAGCCGCGCGCGCACGCATGGATACTGGTCCGTTGCAAAGGCATGGAGCTGGCTCCGCCTGTGACGGCGTGTTGCTCCGAGGCCCATCATGCTGGTCGACGTGAAAGAGCGCGGCTTCGTATTCGAAAGTAAAATCCTCTTCGTCGAGCCCGTCGTCGCCATGGTCATTGAGGTCGGCGTCGAGCCCGTCGTCGCTATGGTCATTGAGGTCGGCGTTGGGCCCGTTGCCGCCATGGTCGTTGAGGTCGGCGTCGAGCCCGTGGTCCGAATGGACCTTTTCCGTCTTAAGCACCACTAATACACGTACGATAAGAGCTGAAATAGAGAGGTGGGAGCATCGTACTACGTGAATGGGTCTCGCCATCTTCCGAGGGGAGCGTCGTTTCTTGGCTGGGTGCTGCGCTTGGCCTTGGTCGGGTCACGACGCACGGCTTCATATGCGCCATCGACGGCGGTACGGACGATCGCGTCATGCGCAGACGCTTGGTTGAGCCTTTGACACGCTGCGCCTAGCGCGCTAGGTGAGATGGATGCAGCCGTGGCTTGTGCGGGTGCCCTACCATCGACGTTCGGCGGCGGTTGCGTATCTGTTGTTTCGAAAAAGCGCTGCTCCTTGGAAAACACTCCGGGTTTTAATCCGGTAGGCTAAACTAGGCCGAATTGGGATGCCTGTGAACCCAGAAAAAGGATATTTCCAAAGGGAACACTGTTTTCAATCGACC